ATTCAACTGAATAAATTGAATAGTGTTCATAGGTTAATGGTCAATAGTTGTCGGATATTGTGTGCTATATTGTGATTAATATTTTTTGCACTGATTGGTTTATAGATTGACTACATATAATAACGCTGCTATCACAGAATGATCAACATTTCTAGTTATTTCAGGAAGATAATTTTTTATTCATGTTGAACGAATTGACAGGGGGTAAGGATTATATCCAAAAAAGCATACCTATGTTTTAAGTATTTTGTGATTGGCATATCGTTTCTCCAGGGTTAATTAACAAGTAAGTAATGCCGAGGTTCCGTATAGTAGTAATATATAAAAATCGCAAGTTGCTTTATATACGATGAGGCGTCATTGAGTCAGGTGGTCAGAACATTTGCAACATATTCTCAACTATCAATTAAAATGTACTATCTTTTCTATTGTAGTATGTTTACAGACGGGTAACAATAGCCAGATGAAACCATAAAGGTCTAACTCATGTATGCATATGCAGACTTCTTGATTTAACCTATCAAAATCATCATAAGCTACACCTACAGATTTTAGGTTACATAACTGAAGATCGTTTTTAGTAATACAGGGGCTAAAATTCCATCACTTCATACAAAACCTTCAGCTTGTTGTTATTTCATACTTTTTGTTAGACTTTTTCGGACTTTTTTCAGTTACGTTCTCCATATTAAGTATGCCGCCACCATTTATGTAGTCATGTATAATATCTCATGCTTGTTTATCTCATCATTGTAAAGCATGTAAATATTTGTCGAATTAAAATTTGTCCTAGATCCTGAATTGTAGACGATGAATTGATTGACTTCAGGAATATTCATGAAAAATTTCTGAGATTAGTTAGACTTGAATTGATAACCTTTGGGTACTATTTAAATGTTCGAATTAAAACTTAGACCAAATAGTTACAGTGAGGGTGTTTATATCGAAATTCGTTCTTACAAATTCGTATTAGTGCCCTAGATATTCTCATTTCAGCATAAAAGTGATTAGATTTAAGCCGAGAGAAAGAAAGAAAGAAACGATTGATTTCATAGGGCATTTGTCAATTAAGGCATTTATTGATCTGAAAGTAATAACCAAAACTAAAATTCAATACAAAATAAACAAATCAATCTCCCACTTAGAATTATTTTACAAAATATATACATAATAAGAGGAAGACAATAACAACAATGCTAACAATCAAGTCAGCATTTATCACCATAATTTTAAGACAGTTAATGTTTTTAAGGTCATATTATGAGGAAAACTAGTAGAACATTCACTTATTTCTATTTAATTCATTTAAAAAATTCATCCCATTTCAAGGAATTTTCAACAGAGAGTTAAATTTTCTTTTCTTTATTATTAAGCAATATATATACAGGTGGCCTGAAGCAGTTGACCTTATTTAACATATACAGTATATGATACTTATGAATTAAGGAAATATAGAGGCAATATGTACAGTATGCACATATGTCATTAAGATCAATCGCAGTCCTAAACATCAGTAGCATGATTCAAGTAAAACAATACCAAGTGAACATACAATAAATGTTAGAGAATATATATAATCAAGTGTTCCGATTATATTCATTTAACAAAATGTGTTTAACGAATATGCTTTGTAATATTTATTTGCACTCCGGTATTATAATGAACGAAGATAGAGAAAAAAGCTTATTTAATAAGTAAAAACATAATTACTGTTTAGTTGAAGGGGTGGATGCAAACCACTGAATAAGTCTTAATTTCTCGTACACTTTTTTCGAAATGCTTACTGCTCTCCTGAGACAGTTGTCACTAAAGAATTTACTTAGCTTGAAGTTAAAACTATAACTTTTATTCATGAAAATTTGTAGAGTAGTAAACAAATGTTCAAAGAAATTCTAGGTAGTTTAGCATAGAAATAAAACCTAGTGGATGTCACTTCTACAACTTCACATTTCAACCTAAATAGAAAAGTTTTACAATTAGGTTTTTATATACTCAAGAAACTACGGATGTTTTATTTACACATATAGGCATATCAAGATGTCTACTATAAACCACATTATCTTCAATGTAATATATATAACTTTTTATGGTCAGACATAACATTTACTAGTAAAATGTCTAAGTATAAATCAATGACTAAAGAAACAGAAATTTATCTCAAAGAATTTAAATTAAATACCATATTCATTTAGTAACTGACCATTCATTTTTTAAATAGAAACAAAGTTATGATAAAAAATAACGAAGGGACAGTATTAATTAAAGGAAGTTCTATACTATTAATAAAACTGACTAATATTTGGTTTTAAGCAATTTTTTAATTTATACTAAATCTATACAAGATTTCGTTGTACTTTTCGAATGGTTTTTAAATTTTATTCAGCATTGGGACTCATAAATTGTATATTCCTGTATATATGTTAATATTCATATGAGGACTAAAACCTAATAGATATTGCTTTAGACAACATTGTTAAAAAGACATACACATAACTCAACAGACACTGATCAGTTTCAGTCCTGACTATCAACAAACACTGATTATTTTTCATAGTGTTCTAAATGTAAGAGATAGAGACAGAGAGAAAGGGAAGACATATAATCGAATCGCTTGTTTAAGTCATATAGTATAAGTGATCTTTTTTAATGTTGTGTTATGGGATTGTGATTATTAAACATGATATCACAATCTAGTGATACAAGATTACTGAAAACTATCAACAGGAAGTTCTGATCCCAAACTACCTCTTTACTTATGCTAATTAATGAACTGTACATATTAGATTGACAAACTTGGTACTACTGTCCAAAAACTTTTAATACTGAGTAAATGATTTATTACTGAAATCATAAGGCTTATACTGACACTATGTTTTTCTTGGTTGATGAATTTAGTTTATGTTTGAAAGTTGACCAGTTTTATGAGGCTTGAATTTTGAGTATTAGCTAAACTTCACTGATCAACTTCAATCTAATCATGTCAATAGAGTAGCCTAATGCTTCCGTGAAGCACCTTGACTTTATATTTGTCGTACATAAGTATTTTTGAGGGTATAACATTATCTATGCCAGATAGTTTAATTGAGAAACCTTCGATGACTTTCTCAATGACATCAAGACTATTTTACCTAAAATTAGTGTTCTAAGACTTAAATTTGCTTCACTGGTTAATTCCTTTTAGAAACTATCACCATTGAATTCCGGCTCAGTGGTCCAGTTGATTAAGCGTTCGCGCGCGAGACCGAAGGCCCCGGGTTCGAATCCCGCCCGCGGGATCGTGGATGCGCACTACTGAGGAGTCCCACAATAGGACGAAACGGCCGTTCAGTGCTTCCAGGTTTTCAGTTTTGATGGTCTAACATCAATTGGTTCATGATCTCAATCAAAAAACTTAATAATCTCCACAACTCCTATACTAGTATACTAGGTGTCTACCTATGACCTATGTCCTGAAAAGAATCGATAAAATGAGGTCAAAGATAGTCAAAACAATAATCCCTAAAAAATATTCATAAATATCAAATTCGTTAAAAGTTTAATAGATACCACAACTCAATGGTTTATTTGACAGTGCGCTAGCTTTTGTAGTATAAGCATCAACATCAGGATTGAGGCAGACTTATTTGATAAGTTTCAATTAAGAAGTATATATACCGGACCCCAATGTTGCCCATTATTAAAAAAGTCCAAATACCTTTTTCACGTTTGGAAAAAAATGTTCTTAAAAAGTTCATTTTGCAAGTTATTCTAAATTAAAATTCTGTTTATCTTATCTGTTTTATTATAACAATCTCATGAAGATAAAAGAAATCATTTCACTAAATGTCATGTTATATTTTTTTATAAATGAAAAGCTTAAGATTCAGAACTCATAGCTTGAAAATTAATTAATTTTTTTCCTTGGTATTCAACAAGTAGATATATTTTAATTCCTGTCTATAAGGCATATATATAGTCAAGTTGTTGTATATCTAAACATAAAATTTTGGCTATTTTTTAGTTCGATTATCCAGTAAGTGATACGAATTATTGCTCTTATTAAAACTCACAATTCAAAAGTTGAATTCCGCCATATTTGTGCTTTTTGTTAGTCTCTTTGGGGTGTGCTACACTAAACTTATTTTTGCCAGATATCTGATAACTATCAAATGTTTTGGTGAAAATTATGCTCTAATATCTAGAAGTTTCTAGTTAAATAAACAAAAAATTGTTCGAAGTATCTAAGTACAACACACTTGGACAATGAAAGCAGCGCAGATAATCTCAGTTAGAATAAGTGAAATGACATTGAGTTTAGTGGTTATTAATAGTGGAATTTAGAATGCATTTATTATAACATCTGACGTTTATTATTTTAATGTATCTAAATGCTGCCATAGCTCGTTATGGATATAATTTGGTTATTCATGATTCGTGAATTCATTTACCATTCTAAAAAATGAAGCTATATATATATCCCAGAGTTTAGTAGACCATGTTAAAAGTATAGGTCAATCAAATCCCAATATAACGTATTTATTTCAAACATTGTACCATTAAACAAACTTTCCCCAATTAAGGCTTTTAAAACTAGGAATAATATAAAGCAGTTTGAAGTGCAACACCTACTATACTGTTCACTTACAACGTACAGTAGACATTCTACCTACTTTTATAAAGTTTTAGTATAGTGGTGTAACTCACTTGTTTAAACCTGACTTTTTGACGTAACACTACAAATCAGATATTGGATAACGATCAATAACCATCACACAAGGACCATAAGTTACGGCTTACTATATGACCTAAACCTGGATCACTAATTAGCTCATAATGAACTTTAATTTTGATCCTATCATGAATGAAATCTAAACAACCAACTCCAATAAAAATTATAATTGTTCCAGCGAACAAAGTAGCAACTTTGATGAATTAAGAAATAATATTTAATTAATAATCGAGTGTTTTAGTGAATATTGTCCTCTCAGAATATACAAAATAGTTATAAAATAATAACTCACGATTACAGCCCAAATCATGACAAGTAAGAAATACAGGCTTTGAAGGCATAATTCTGCCCTGAAAAAATGAATTACAATAAACAATGAAAAATGAATACTTCTATGTCATTCATGATATTTATTGTAACAATAATTATGGTTTCAAAGATAAACGTCTTCACTAGCATGCTTTTAAGCAATCATGTACATTAAAAAGATATAGTATTTGAGCAAATTTCATAAAAGTTGTTATAGTACCCCGAATATATCAGAAAAGCTACAAATATCTTCCCATCTGTACACGCAAAAGTCGACCGTATATCTTTAAGACACAGTAGTAGACTTTTACTTTGATTAAAGTAATAGAACGTTATGCAGTAGATGCTTGGAAGAAGTGTTTTTCGCTTATACTTTGCGTTATAAAACACTTCTGAAACTTATGCTATACTGCTGCACTAAAGCATAACAGAACACATGGAGCTGTTTGTAGTGTAATTACTACCACTTACCAAGTCATCGAAATTTACCTTATATTGGCTATAGGAACGTTAAACAGCCGCAAAAATAACAAAATGTCACAGTAGAAATTACTCCTTTTTGGCTGTGGATCTAAGTGCTAAAGATGACATCATTTCCCGCAACTTTGTGAAATTTTATTCACTAACCTGTAAGCAACATAAATATTTTGGAACTCAATAGGGCTATTGCTCGCAATTTTCGACGTTTATTGAAGGAGCTACTTCAAATTTCATGCTTTTTAAACTGAAATGCTTCCAGCTTTAGAGTTTTTAAAGCAAACAATTAAGCACTACTAAACCATTGAGTGATGTGTCAGCTTATTTAAAGAATATTTTGTAGGTATCTATTTGAACCTTGTATGTCCACAAGTTCTTGAGATTTCTGATGTAACTTATCCGATATTGCATACCCAAATTATGGAGTGCTACTTTCAGAAACTAGTTCGATAGGCAATTTAGGAGTAACTCGTTGAAACCTAAATAAAAAATGTGGTATTGAATGCCTAGAGACACTGGATCTACGTGTAATATGTTTACTTTGAATATAATTATTATGATTATTTGGACAATATTTATTGCTTGGAGTTTTCTATTGATAATATAACCAAGTGTTAAGTAAACAAGTAGTCCGACAAAATTTGATTGTGAAATTTCCCGAATAGCAGATACTAGATGGATGTATTAGGCACAATTAGGTGTGATGAGAAACTCCTAAATTTTAATCATTTAAACTCCCTGCAACTCAGGTAAAAAATGTTTAGATATCGGTTGGAAGATCATCGAAATGAACTGAAGTGTGTTTCATTGATCCTCATGAAAAGAGCTGTGCATAAGTAGCAATTGGAAACCTGTCCCTGTAAATCTTGAATGCGTTAAGCCTATCACTTGTAAACTTGCGACTAGATATATTTATTTTCCGGTTGCAGCAAAAAATATAACGTTCGGAGTTTTTCGGATTAAATACTTATAAAACAGAACCTAAGTTTCTCAATTATCTATTCAGAAAGAAAGTCAGTTCAAATACAGCTGGCTATTCTATTTTAAAATGTGAATTTATTGTGGTCTGTCAATTGCAGTAATGACAACGGGTCATTTTTCCTTCTGCCTTTGGAGGAACAGCATTTGACGTTACAAGCTTTAAAAGAACTGATTCCAGATTTTGCATCATGTTACATAACTGCAAATTTTTTTTCTACTCTAGAAGTTCAGTTTTCAAAGTTTCTTTGGATGACCCACAGACTTTTAACTTAGCTCTTTTCAAACCTTAACAGGGAAACTGACCACTTTTTTTGATTCATAAAAAGAAATATTTGATGTAACACAGCAGTTTTATGTACAGCCAAACATTATTTTTGTTAGATGCTATTCATAATACTATCAGCTACATTTTATAAAAGGTATTGTACTTTTAGTTTTAGAAGGAGTCACTAATTTTGAAGAGTTCACCAGCAAGATCGTTTTGACCATTATTATCTAAGTATGGAGTCTTTTTTCCATTCTATGTCGTACTTATATTTTGGCTTCGATTTTAATGCTTTGAACTGATAAGAAGGATTTCTGAATGCTGACTATGGATAAATAGTTTCTCAGTAACTAATGTGTCATTAAAGACATTTTCTTCACAGGGTCTACTCACCACATAACACCTTAATTTACCTCAGTGAGCGCTTGTGAAATTTTATCATTTCTATCTCATCATGGTCCATCAACGCTCTTGGTGCTTGTGTGGTTGCTGCATGGGATTAAGTTGTTCTGTTTAGATCGCAGACTCGAAAGCAAAGCACGGCTCTTCTAAAATCAGTGTAAAATTTCCCCTTTGCATAAGGTATATTTACAACAAATCAATCTTATTTACTGTTATAAATCATTACGTGATAATAATGAAGTCCTTGAAAAAAGCCTTGAGTTACTCATATTTATAAACGATCAGAGATTACATTTTAAATGTCCTAAAGCACGAAAATTATTAAATTTACTTTATACTTTTATGATTTCTGAAGTAAGGTGCCTATTTAGTCGTAAGTACAAAAATGATGTCCATTGATCTGAAACTTTGAGTTGACGGAAATTCTGACTAAGGTTATAAAACCCTTTAAGCGCAAAATAATCAATGTCTGAATTGCAAAAATGAATCATACACTTAAACTATTCAGAATACTCCAAACTCCTTTTTGTTTAAAAATTTATCGTACCTGTACAAACACATTTAACTGACACACTTCAGTGTCAATCACGTGATGCTAAATGTAAGAAAATTAATACGATATGAATAAAAATACTGTTTCATTCGCCATTCCTATTCCAGCCATAATGAGAAATGTAGTTAACGTTTCCACAAAACAGCAACAAATAAAACGTTCAAAAAGTGTGCGGAAATAAAGTTCATTTTCGCGAAACCACAAAACAAAAGCTACGAAAACCACATTATTAGTCTCTTGAAGCTACTAAACTTCACTCAGAAAAACAGTTTTTAACTAAATGCAAGTCCTATTTGGGTCTTTTGACTTGAAATTGTTACTTCGACAATCCGCTATACTTTAAAAGCGCCTATGAATTTCCCTATCTAATACTGGATTTCTCCTGGATCATAACGCACCGACTTCTGAAGCTTTAAGTGCACAGTGAACGTAAACACTGTGACGTAGCCACATAAAACTGAATATATCTAAGTGAAGTCAAGTAAACATTACAAATTTTACGTACGGAGGTTTGCTTGTGAATTAAGTTACTTCTCAGAACAATATTGTGAAATTCTGACAATTGTTTTGTCATCTTTCAGTTCCAGATGTTTACTCATCAGATAATGGCTTGCAGTTCACATTCTCCGTTTTCTCAAGGTTTTGCAGAAGATTTGGAGTTAGACATGTCCTTTCAACCCGATAGCAATAAAAATGGTCAGGTTGAGAGTTTTGTGCACTCCTTTAAAAGAGCACTACTCAAGAAGAAGCAAAAGAGGAAAGAAAAAGTTTCTGATTGTTTTTTTATTGGTCTACAGATTAATTTCAAATCCACCAACTCCAACCAAATGTTTCCAGCAGAAATCAAATGTTTTCGGTGTTTTTAGACCATAGCAGAAGGGCGTAGAAAGAAGAAACCCAAAGACAGAAACACAACTCATTCTCCATCACGGAGCGAGTTGGATAATATTTCAAGGCAATGAAGGAGTACACGTTTGCGATTTTAGATACTTGCATTCGCTATGGACCAGTGGACGCATACTAGAGAGATGAGGGAAATTGATGTATAGGACGAAATTCGAAGGTTAAATAGGTAAGTTGTGACGACCACGTTTGACCTAGGATTTCCAGTAACTTGGAAGCCTGCGGAACCAGGATGTAATCTCACGAGATCATTTCGAAAACACAGAAGGTCATCCTTCCTCCATGTTGACCTTAGAAGAGGATCATACAACTTTTAGGGAGGGATATATCAATGATGTCATAATTATTGTTTTTAACTGATGACTTGACGTCTTTTTATTTTTTATCCATTTCAAATAAACAGGTTGATCACGTTTTGCAAGGATCGCAACGCCAGCACGTTTCACACACACATGCACTTAGAGAATGGCAGTTACAATATTTTTTGTCAATGAGAAAATAATGTCAATATAAAAATAAAGATGCAATGACAAACAACGAGTAATTTATGAATATTATTTAATTTAATCCAAAATCAGTGAAATAACAACATTCACTTTGTCTCTGATGATTCGACAAATTGAAAGACTTCGTTTGACCTTTCATTAATTGACATAACCTGTTCTTTTCCAGAGTCAGTGTAATTTAAACTTTACCTTTTATAAACCATTTTTCTACTCTCACGGTTATTTTTGACGTAAGTGTATTTTCCCATTTGCTTGTGGGTTATGGTCATTCTAGTCATCTGCTTATCCATGTATCTTTTTACATTAGGCAGAATCAAGTATAAACCAAGTAGCGTTTAAGCTGACTCATCTTCCCTATCTTTCGCCTGTCGACTAATCAGGTGAATTAATGGTTTTCGTCCCTCTGCCTATTAGTCTCAACTCGGGCTCACACATTTCTAGTCTCATGGTTGAACCATTTAGCCTATCGTGTCAACACCTTGACACATACCGAGACAAAATCTCCCATTCATATTAGTGGGAAGATAGAACAAGGGGTTTACATAGCTTGAGATTAATATTGTCCAGTTAATATGTATACCTAACAGTGATTAAAAGGGAAATACTCATCTATCACTCTTTTTAGAAATGTGAGGACAACGAAATGTAGCTATGCCCTAGCTAAATCATCCGTTAGACTGGTAGGCATCTACATTGGACATTGAACAGTTAAACATACATCTAGGCCGAGTGTGATGAAAACGGATAAGGAATTTCCATGTCATCGACTGGCCTATGTAGTAACATCATGACTCTGTACTTCATTAATATGTTCTTTGCAATAAACTATGCTCTTTTTGCAAGATCCTACCTCTAGCCAGTCACCACAAAAGCTTCTTTGCATTGGTTTTGACGAACAGGTAGGTCATATTTAGTATTAATCACGATTTGTGACACTGACTTTGGATAGGAGGTCAACTTGAGTAATTTTATCACCAACAGTGGTGATCTACTGATCAGTCAACATCAGGATTCATGTTACAATGGACTGTGTGTGAAATTTAGTCCAAAAGCCTACTCCCTTCCTATATAGTTTTACTGATATGACTGAGACGTGTCATAGCCATAAAAAGCAACAAAACACAGAAGTTTGGGGTTATTTATCGTTGTATATAGACATCGATATAAGCACGAAAAATACGTCAACTTCAGGTCTAAGCTAATTCCCAAAAAATGGAATAATATTTGACCCAAAAGCCAAATTCATGAACTTAAACTTGTATCTATATATCGTGAGACTGATCACGGAATACTAAACGGTTGATAATAAATGGTCCAGATCTCTGATAATAAACTAGGATCGATTGACTCAAGGCTTAGAGCTATTTCTTGTACTAGTTGACTCTATGCATAGAAACAATTTTCTTGATAGTTATGTCACTTCTTAAAGCTTTTATAGATTGGCGTTACCTGTCACAAGGCAAGGATTAGACGTAATACAAAGCCATCAAATGGTGTAGTCTTAACATAAGGTTATAAGAGACAAGCGGTCAAATCATCCCAGTCAACATATCAGCATCAGCGGAAGCAAAAAATTATAAATGAAACTGTAAATGGCCTCGTCTGAACCAAAAATTAGTACGATGTACATGATCATCAAGATCAAGTACAATAAGGCTTAACTTGGAACGGGACTAAAGATCGTTTCCATAAAAAAAGTAAGCCAGGAAGATTTTCTTACGCATTAGTTCTATTACTCCCAGATTATGATCGATCAAAAGTGAACAATGTAGCTCTTCAGCAGGTCTATCCGGATGTAAATGTTACGCGATCTAATAAATCACAATCCTGGCTTTTTCTGGTCTAGTGCCATGTTTTTACAGTCTCAAAAATAAACAAATTTTCCCCAGATGAAATCATAATTAGTTATGAGCGGTGCAAAAATGTTCGAATACAGAGTATGTTCGATAGTATATCCAAAAATTATGCTTACACAACTGGGGGTGATAGATTACATTTTACTTGTTGTTTAGTTATTAACCTTTAAAGGAAAGTTTGTTTTCAGACCGATATCATGACTCAACTACGGTCCACTGTTACTTTATTGAACCATATAGTTAGGCGTCGAAGTGAGGGACTGCTTGAAGGTGCAATTCCATGGTAGCTTATGATCCTGTAAATGACAATCTTAGACATAATCCTTGAAGTTTCGCGTATCACTAATCCTGACAACTGTCATTAAGCAACTCTCGATGGTGTACAAATTTCAGAGGACAATACGAAGCGTTAACCAGAGTTTATTATTGTACAGAGTAAATCACTAAGTTACACAAACCTAACTCGAGAGCTGCGTATGCAAGTGAATGGGATCGATCGAATACAGTATTGAATGAATTGATAGGATTTAAGAAGTACATATATATAGGAAGGCACATGAGTCATTGGGCAACATAAGCAACCAAAATGTAAGCTAGCAAGTCATTACGTGTGTAGACAATGACATGTAATCAAGCATATATGTTCACGCAAATCTGTCAGTAACAATATAGATATATAGGTAAATCGTTATTGTTCGAATGACATTGTCCACCGAATAAGTTAATTGAAGGGCTTAACAAAACTAAACTTAAGCAGATTTAATTGTATTTGAGGATCTATAACTTTGATAGCTCAGTGCAGATCATAAACCCGATACCCTCCATGTCATTGAGACCGTGACTTTATAAGATTTATGTCCACGGTTGCTGCTGACTAATTTACGCGCACCACGAGATTAACAGACCTACAGTAATATCGCTGGCTCTCTGTAATGCAATATTATCTTACGTCAAGGTTATATTGTTGCCTATACTGATTCACGCACTTGTGGTAGCCAAGAAAGTTGCTTTTTAAGGACCTCGGGAGAACAGTGTCGACAGAATAATATATTTATTGAGAAAGGGTAAACTGTTAAAGTGACTATGCTTGCATGGATGAATCATGGGGTCTCGATTATTTCTTCGCATCGACCCTTTTAGACCTCCACTATTGTTTACACACCATTTTATTTCAAGCGTACATCCTCTGGGTTAATGTATTTCCAGCTTCTAATTTCCATTCCACTGTTCTCACTTTGTGGAAGAATCACTGCTACACGGGGAGATCGAGCAAGTCTTCTCATGTCACTTCTATGAAAGTGCAGCTAGACGAAAGAATTTTGAAAAGGAAACAAAAAATATACAATCTGTGGCACGACAGACTATTTGAAATGCATCACTTGAAAACGTCTTGCTAACAAAATTCAACATATCACTCCAAATCCAGTTCCATGGACTATTCAAACACCTTTAGAAATAATTTGCTTAAAGCAAGCTGAATTTACTGACGATTTCTTGTTGCTTTTAATCTAAGTTGTAAACTCGTTTGCCTAACTTTGTAACAACTTTGTTCAACAGTATTTTTTGACTTACTGATGTATACAGATGCAACAAAACAATAATAAACATTATTGCACAGTTTGGAGTGTTTAACAAGAATGAGTTAATATTCAGTGGATCAGATGAATCTGACAGGAAAACTTATTCTGAAGCTGATATTAAAATCGCTACTTAAAATAAACCGTTTCATCCTTATATCTTTTCCGTCCATACCATAAGATAGGCTGGTGTACCTGTTTAAAATATCACAGCAACGTTCTGCAAGCTGCTTCGCTGTTAGCTCTGGCTCTTATCTTAATATTTCTTTTTCACTCTTACTATGTTGTTTTGGGACGATAACAGGCTAGGCATTTACGATATATCAGATTACAGCATAATCGTTAACTTAACGACAT